AAGAGGAAGGCATTCACTACAGAGAATGCCTTGTCCTTTCCTGAAATGCAGTACGTTGTTGAACAAGAGGAGGTAGAAGCACAAATCCAGGAGGAGATGCCGAGGCCCGTGAAGCGTATTAGAAAGTGTAGCAAGTGTGGCCGTCCAGACCATAACGCAAGAACCTGTGTATCATAAGAGTTAGTATTGATCTACCATGTTTTTCAATTTGAAGGTATTTCAACAATAATTGGTAGAGCAATCAATTGTTGAATGCTATGCTCTTTGATGCCTTGGACCGCGTTGGGGTATGGACCGCGTTGGGGTTCCCCGCGTTAAGGAGAGCGTCAATAACCCTAAACCGGTGTATCGCCCGCTGCGGTGTCTTCTGTGCAGGTATACCTCGACGTTACATCAACCTGGGCATGCACTATGCCTGCAGGTCGGCGTTGCTCAGCCTCGTGAGGCCGCCCTGACTTCTCATCACTGCGCTGCATCGTTCACGAGACAGCGTACGTTCGAAACTTAATCATTTGACCTCTTCCGCGATGTCTCTCACTCAACAGAAGAATCAAGATGTCTGGCGCAGAGCCTATCGCTCTCGTCGGTCTCGTCGACGCTTGCATCGGCATCACCAAGACAATCATTGCCATCGGTCGTGCAGTGCATGATGCGCATGGCCTCCCGCCGAAGCTACACGATGTTTTCGATAGACTTCCCGCGATTGAGACCATTTTGATAACCGCTCAAGAAGCCTGTAATAAATGTCAAGTTGATGAAGGCAAGCGTAAGAGCGCTCGGCCGCTGCTCGAGCAGTGCTGGACGGCCCTTGCAGAATTACAGGAGATAATTAGCAAGGCGTGTCCCGAGAATGGCGACAGTCGTGCCGCACGCGTCTGGAAAGGAACCAAAACGGCATTTTTTGGTCGCAGCAGCAAGGTGCAGGAACTGTTGAAGATCGTACAAGACAATTTGAAGTTCCTGGAGCAGCAGGAGATCTATACTATCAGCAGTAAACTCGACGGTCTAGCACCCTCTGAGACACAGCCTGAACCGTCGTCAAATATCCCCTTCCCACGCGATCGAGACTATGTAACACGAACGGAAATTACAACGCATATCGACTCAGCCCTGTCGTATCCAGCTGCAAGGCTCGCTCTGGTGGGCCTCGGAGGTGTTGGGTATGGGTGAAAATCTCAAGTACTAAAGCATAGTCCGACTGACTCGTCGACAGAAAATCACAAATCGCTATTGAGTACTGCTATCGCACGCGAGAGACGTTCCCAGATACATGGGTCTTCTGGATTCATGCGAGCACCCAGGGACGGTACGAGCAGAGCGTACGCGACATTGCTGATCTTGCACGCATCCCAGGGCGATCAGAGTCTACTGCAGACATATACAACTTGTTCCGTGACTGGCTGCGCGAGAAGGCTTCGAGGAAATGGCTGATCGTACTCGACAATGCGGACGAAGTCGATTTCCTCGTCGAGCGGTTCAATGGATCTGTCTCTCTCTTTGAGCGTCTGCCGATCTGTGATCAGGGCAATATTCTCATCACCTCTAGGAGCATGTCTTCAGCGGAGAGACTCGTCGATATGAAAGCGAGAATTCCAATCCCTCGCATGGACAGGCAGCAAGCTGCGATGTTGTTGCAGCATAAGCTGGGGTCACAAGTAGCCGGGGTCGCCAACACAGAGGACTGCGAAGCGCTCGCAGTAGCTCTGGACTTCATGCCCTTGGCCCTTTCGCAAGCTGCAGCGTACATCCAGCAACGAGGAACGCTGTCGTCAGTCAAGCAGTACCTGGCAAAGCTGGACAAAAAGGATCAATCGAAGCGCAGCATTCTCGATGAAAACTTCAAGGACCATCGGCGCGATCCTGAGGCTCACAGTGCGATTATGGCCACATGGCAAATATCGTTCGAACATCTTCGCCGCGAGCGACAATCTGCAACGGATTTATTGTCGCTGATGTGCTTTTGCGACCGTCAAGCTATCCCGAGTGTTTTGCTCCAGAAGTTAGAGAGCGACGAGGAAAGTAACACGACCAGACTAGAGTCCAACGACAATGCGGGCACTTCAAGCGCTGGAGACTCGGCGACCTCTCCGGATGTAGAAGAAGAATTTTTTAAGGATATCGCGATGCTCAAAGGCTTTGCTTTTATCTCGAACTCGTCTGACAGCTGCACATTCGAGATGCATCGACTTGTGCAACTGGCCACTCAACGATGGCTTTACAACCAGGGTCAAGCCGAACATTGGAAGAAAGCATTCATTCGTAACCTAGATATTCTGCTCCCCTCAGGAGATTACGAGACCTGGGAGACGTGCCGGAAATTATTCCCGCATGCAATAGCGGTATCTCATCTAGTAATCACAGATCGAGAAGCCTTATTGCTCAAAGCCTCAATCTGCGAGCGCGGAGGGCGATACGCGAATACGCGATCCCTACTCGGCGAGGCGGAAGAGATGTGCAGTACCTCCTATAAGATACGAGCGGAAATTTTTGGAAGTGAGAATCTGGACACCCTAGAGAGTATGTCAAAGCTTGCCGCGACATACTGTAGTCAGGGGCGTACGAATGAAGCAGAGCAGCTGGTGCTCCAAGTTTTGAAAGCCAAGGAGAAGCTGTTTGGGCCCGAGCATCTAGAAACATTGCCGAGCCTAAGTCAATTGGCGAACGTATACAAGCATCAGAGGCGATTAAGCGAGGCAGAGCAGCTAGATATCAAAGTTTTCCAGCACATTGAGGCGCTACTTGGGCCCGAACATCCCGACACATACGACACTATGGAGCTCCTCGTAACGACGTACGTGGAGCAGGAGCGGTGGAGCGAGGCCGAGCAGCTTCACGTAAAGCTACTAGAGGCGAGGAAGGCGATGCTTGGGCCCGAGCATCCAGATACACTCAGGATCATTGGCTACCTCGCAGGTGCATATATCGGCGAGATGCGACACGACGAGGCGGAGCAGCTTCTGATAAAGCTGGTAGAGACGAGTAAGTCGGTGCTTGGGCCCGAGCATCCAGATACATTGACGAGCATCAGGAAGCTTGCTGTGACATACGTAGAACAAGGTCGATGGGTCGAGGCTACAGATTTATTGACACAAGCGGTCGATAAAGCTCAGAAGGCTCTCGGACCGCAACATCCTGACACCGAACTTGCCATTCTACAACTGGAACGTGTTGAATTGATGCAGCAGCTTGACGCTCTCCAAAAGGGGTTGGCGACAAGCGTAGATCAACGCAAAGACAGTAAAACTCCTGGAGCATAAATGTGGTGGCAGACGTAGGATATTGACTGCCCAGCGTGGCAGCAAGCTTTTTCCACCTTATGGCTAGAGCTTGATCTCGTGATACCGTTCAGAAGATCTTGCGCTGTGGCTCTCAAATGAAATCGAGCCGAAGTGCATGGAGTGGAGCTGGACACATATCGAACAGGATACTAAGATTGTCATCAATGATTTACGTGCTCGTCGCTCGCACACAGAAGACAGTCGGGCCGAAATTGCGAAGGCTTGGATCGCACAGTTCCGGCATCAAGAAATCACGGATTTTGAAAGAGAAGAGCGGGTGTTGGCAACGTTGTTTCAATTTATGTTTCAATTCACTCCATTTATGCCTCGAGTCCGTAACGCTCCTTCAGCTCGCCGACCAAGTCGACGTACTTCTTCTGGGCCTCCTCGGGGGTGATGCCAGTGTCAGCGACAGCCTTCCAGGCGCGCCATTTCTGAGCAGCGGCGGTCTGGTGGAAGAGGGATTATCGTCAGCGAGGAGTCGGATTCGTGATGGTTATTTCGAAGATCTCAATGGAGGAGAGGACCTACCACGTTGACAGACCACGGCTCATTGCCCTTGACGGCGGAAAAGTGTGGGTCGTTGACGGCAGTCTTGTAGAGACCGTAGACCTGTTTCGGCGAGAATATCCCATATTAGCAATAGTCCCCGTTCTTCATGATGTTCCGTTCGTTCTCCATTCTATCTCTTATCTCTGATCTCCTCTATAACATGCGCATTACTGACCGTCAACAGCTGCTCGTTGGTCGGCGACTGCTTGAGCTTCTTGACCTCCTCGACGGCCTTCTTGAAGTCGTCAGATTGAGGGGCGGGGCCCTTGTCGGTCCACTCGGCAGACATGATGATGATGGATTACTGGGTTGTGTGTGAGGTGGGTGGTTTCTATTGTTGATGTAAGTGGAGGAGTAGCGAGAAGAGGAAGTGGTTGTTATGGGAAGATCAGCACAATCACATGCACCGGAGCTTAACAGCGAGCACGTAAGCCGCTCGTCTATTTACCTGCTTCCTACTGTGCTAGCACGGCTACTACTTTGCTGTTACCATAGCTATGCGAGATACTGGCACGCCTTATCCTACCCTTGTCTTGAGTATGTTATATCGTTGAGCACAACATTGTCGTCATCGTCATCCAGGTGGGGGCCTCCAAGTTGTTTTGGTGATTCTGCGGGGCAATTGAGCGATCACGAGCACGCGAAAGCCGACATTATCGCTCTGACGTCATCGGGCGATATTTCCAAAACATTGCGCCTGACAGTATACGATCACCTCCAGATGATTAGATAAGCCGAGTCGCCTATTTCCATTATGGAAACCTCGTCGAATGTCGACAGACCTTCTTGCTGGAGGCACGGCGACAATTCGTTCGGACTGTTGCTTTGGCAGAATAAATTCGAGAGAGGATCAAGATTCGATATGCCGTGAAGTCTTGAGGACTCGTAGAGAGAATTCAAGCAACGAATCGATGGGAAAGAGAGTTTCAGTCAGGGAGTCTGCCAAGCGGATAGGCGTGAGCGAAACTATGATGTTAATTGTGGTTGCTCTCAGGCAAGAGTTCGATCAGTCTAGTCATCAAGTAGTGAGAAACTGTAATGAATAGAGAAGTCAACGTCAACACCGCGACTCTGGTTCAATCAGGCCGCGCGAGCTCACCAACACGATATCAAAATTAATCATGTACAGACCAAGAGACATGTAATTAGAAGTCTCACAACCGAGCATCAGAATAGCGAGCTTCCCACCCACCAAAAGGAAGTTCACAAAAGGTCAAGCAAGCATGAAGTCGTGTCCTTCAGGTCCAAATACCCAGGAGTCTACCAATAAGGCCAATCATCCCAGCCCAACGCGATACCATCACCACCAAACCTATCAAAGCGCTTCTCATGACCGGACGGTGGGACCCTCTGTGCCATGAAGCTCTCTAGACCCAAGACATCAGGCGTCGATGTGGTTCGTGTGCGGAGCGGGGGAGTTGCAGAAACTATCATACGGGCATTGCTGGAGCGGCGAAGCCAGGCTCGATCTCGTGTTTGGTAGGGAGGAAGCGTGTGTTGGTCAAGTGGCGAATCTCTAGAGTCGAGGACGATTTCGACACGATGGCCAAGTTTTCTGGGCGGAGAGGGAGCCGGCCGCGATGACGAGTCTGGACGAATCGCTTGCGCAGTACCTGGTAATGCTTCGATGATCTGTGCTGGAGTGATCTTTGGACTCTGGTTGGTGGTCTCTAGGGCATCAAGGTGTGGCCGTGGCGCATCAGAATACTCCAAAGATGCGCGACCCTGGGGGAGCATGTCGTTGGTCAAAAAATCACCTGGACGAAAATAGCTGGTCCTTCGATGGTTGGAAGGTGATGGAGAAAGATCAGCGGCCGAGTGACGAGTTTTAGGACTATGTAGAAACTGACGACGAGATAGCTGTGTTGCGCTTTGGGCTGTCGATGGCAACTTTTTCTTCGGCTCAACTGGATGCCGCCGTTTACGATAATGGCCATGCTGTGGACAGATTGCTTTGCCGCCAGAGGGATGCCTGGGGTGGAGCGGACATAGCGGAGATTGTGGAAGATGATCAGGCACGTTGCGTTCGTACCCGAGGATGATTCCGTCGACATCTTCATCATCAGCTTCATCTTCAGTCGATTTGTCGATCGTTGCGCTCGGAAGGCGCATGGCTTCCTCAACGAGTCGTTCGATATGTTGTCGCTCTGTCCGTTGAGCATCGTAATATCGTTGTGCGAACGGCGTCTGATGGAATGATGTCACGATGAGGTCTGCAGCAGTGATCGGGCGCTGCTTGGCAGGACGTGCTGAAACGGCCTCTGTTCCGATGATACTGTTGCGAATCTCCGAGACCGATCTTCTCGTAGACACGGAAGCCGATTTAAACTTCCGCCGTACAAGGCTATCATATGAGCCGGCATGTAAAAGCCTTGAGCCCAGTCGCCGTATACTTTCAAAAGACTGTATATTCCTCAACGATAGCCCTGAAAATGACGCTTTCGAGGATGAGAATGTCGAAACGTTCCGATGGTCTTGACCCGATGGATCACCAGGGACCCGTATTGTGCCCGTAGATGATCGAGCTCGTAGGGCTACAACCACGGAGCTGACCCGTGTGCGCAATGCTGGCAAGTGTCGAGTTGTAAAGTCTACTTTCAGACGTCGAATTGAGCCCTCCTGGCGCGTGGTCGTGTCGATGTGCATCCGAGTCTCACCCAGATCCGTTACAGAGTCAAATCGCACTGCCAGGGCCGGATCGCTAACTTTCAAATCCGGCCCTTCAGACACAATAGCTGCTTCTATAGATTCAGTTTCGTCTGCAAAAGTCTCCAATCTTGTCCGATGTCTATTCCTTGTCCTTGTACGAGGACGATGTCGTGGTGAGCTGAATGGTGATAGTTGACTAGAGGGCGAGCGACTCTGGTCCGGAATGTCCATGCGATCGTGAGGTGGGCTATCCTTAAGTAAAGTTCCAGGGGAAATTTGAGAATACGGCGACGATGTATTTGTGCTTTCTTGATGATGATGCCCTCCCCGATGCGCGAAGTACGGCGGCAAAGGAACGCTTGTCATGTTTGAGATGTTACTAGACCGTATGCCGTCTTCGCTACCATGATGCGAAATAGTGATCTCTGGCGTAGGCGTGTGTCCCGTAGAAGATTTTGTGTTGGGTGTGATAGGAGACGTTCGAAATACTTTGACATTGAAAGCTGTGTTGCGAAAGAAACTTCGCATGCCACTCTGGCCTCGAATTGGCAGAATGGGTCGTGGCGGAGCTCGAGTGAGGGTCACCGTCCTTGTTTCTTCCTGATGGATAACAGGAGAGTTGTAGGTAGCTTCGACACCAAACTTTCTGGATCTAGCACTTTTCAGGGGTGTTTCTTCAGCATAGAGGTCTTCTGAAGAATTATTGTTGCTGTATCGCTCGCCTGGACGAATAAGCCAACGACTTTGGAAGGTGGGATCTGAACCCGTTGGAGATGTGCTGTTGCGGTTGATGCGTTGTCGTTCAAGGTGACGTGAGCGTGTGATCGAAGTCCGGTGTGACCTTCCGATCCCTGGGGTAATCGGACTGCCATTTTCGGCAATTGCTCTAACAGGCTTCGATATCGGATTGGAAAACTGCAAACGTGACAAACCAGGCCTGACTGTGTCGATATCAGCCGAGACTGGTGACTCGCGAATGGTCGTTGAGCCGGAGCGACGCGAGGAGTGTTCGGGCCTCGACCGGGAAGCCGAACGCCGCGCGGAAATTGCCGGCCTTGATCTAAGCCGCTCTTCGGCGGTTGGATATCTAAGCAATGCTTTGCGGGCCGAAAATGGGGTATGATACGTAGGCATATTCAAAGAAGAGAAGCCGGGAGGCAGAGAGGGAACGTGAAGCTCGGCTTTTGGATTGACTTGCACTGATGTACTCTCCACAATGACAGGCGCGGCCTCTGGAGCGGGTGAGCCAACCTTCACATTCTGCACAACTTTGTCGGACTTTCGACATTGATGGAGCGGTGGCTTAGTGGAATTTCGCAGAAGTCGACGGTCCTTGACACGTCTGAGGAGCGTATGAGCAAAGCTGCTGGCATCGGACGCTTTTGTGCTTGAGGAGACGGGTGTCTCTGGGGACCGTCGTGATTTTCCAGAGCCGTCCTGTGAAGACGCGGAGGACTGGTGAATGATAGCATCTACAATAGGATTTGAAATTACAGGCAATTGAATGGTCGATCCAGCGGCCAGTAAGGACTGAAGCTGGGCGGTGGCGGATGCAAATTGAGTTGAAGAATAATTTTGAACGGCAGGATCGATCTGGCTGGGCCTCGATTTCTTCGAAGTGACAGAGGATGTAGCGATAGAAGAGCGACGAATCAAGGAGTCGACCGCAGGGGGCAGAATATCGAGTACAGGTATTGTAGGATTGATGGAAAGTAAGGACTGCAGTTGGGCAGCTGCGCAGGCAAGTTGGGTGGATTGGTATTCCCTGACAGAGGTATTCGTTTGCGACCGTGCCGTATCAAGTCTCGACTGCGATTGCACGTCAGACTGCAAAGGTGAGTCCGATGAACTATGATTATTCGAACTTGATTGACTTTGTGAAAAGTCAAATGACGGGCGGAAGGGGATGCTCGATCGTGGTACTTGTGACTGGTCCGGCGTTGCTGGAAAATTATCTGGAAGACGACGGTGAGCTGTAAGACTAGTTGAACGAGACTTGATACGAGGTTCATCCACAATCGAGCCAGCAGGTCTTGCTAGGAGCTGTATCGGCGGTATCGCGTTTCTGACGCTACCCGACGAGGACGACGTAGAGGAGAAGGTTCCCGATCGAGTGAGTGATGATCTGGTGGAACGCAGCTGCGACGGTGCCGCTGAAGTTCCACCTCGTCCCGAGCCACGACGTCTTCGCGGTGTCTTGCGACGCGTTGGGATCGCTCGTGCGGTGTCAAGGAGGAGCGAGGACGACGACGATGATGGCGCGAGTGGTGGTGTACACGGGCGACACGTGGCGGAGAGTGCGAACGTGCTCGAACGGGTCGCGGCCGATGCCGTCGATGCCAATCTTCCTCCTCTTCTTGATGACGCTCGAGATTGGCGACGCGCTGCCTCAACTTGCGCCGTCGCTTGCTGCTGTAATTCTGAAAACATCCAATAGGGAAGAGACTGCAAAGACCGGCGAGAGCACAAGCGGCAGCCAAGAACACGACCCGATGATAACTTTGCTCCCTGTTGAGATTACGATAGAATGTCGACATGTTCGAGATTCGTCGTTCAGGCGAAGGAGGTTGTAGGTCCCATGAGTAGGGCGGCTGCTGTTCTCAGGAAGGCGGCGGTTGAGGTAGCCAACTATGTGGACGAGAGAAGTCGAGACGAAGGAGCCCGCAACCTTTGAGATCTGGTGCACAATCCACTCGTGATGATCATTGCATCGCGACTGCCGAAATTGGGAGTAATGATGGGCAAGTGCACTGGATTGCGGAGATGTGGGCCGGCGATGTTTCATGTTCATGGTGTGGACGTGTGTGCCTCTTGACACTGAATAGAATTTCCAGGCTTGCAACCGGGCAGGTAACGATTGTCAATATTCGAGATCTTTGATGGAGCACTCAGATCACCTGACACGCCAGTGAAAACGAATAAGTCACAATCAGTGAAAGGATGCGCGATTTGACCACTCATGGAAATGAGTAGTAGGCAAGACAGGGCAACGTACGCGCTCCCTTGCTGGGGCATAAATTGGTGGTATCAAAAGATGGTCGTCAACGACGCCGAAGAAGACAAAGAAAGGCTTCGTCCTGAGGGAGAGGATAAAGTTTGATGGTCCAGAATCATTGACCGTCCGGGATCTGAGGATCAATACCGCCGGCATTGACCTGAACAGGTTGCAACCAAGCCCAAGTGACATCTACCCGGCCTCGATCGACGTTCGCCATCTCGCCGAAAATAGCCACAGTGGTGTCCAAGTCTGTCGGAGCACAACCTGTACAACGATCCACGACACGCAAGTCGACGCTTCGCATCATCCCTCGCTCAGAATCGTACCGCTGTGCACGGAGCATTTTACCGCACAAGGGATTCATGTTTGAGTTGCCGCCCGTCACAGTCGAGGATCCAGCTGCGTCAAAGAGAAGATGGGAGACCGCGACAATGGCGTCGTCTTCGGCCGAGACTTCACCACATGCGCCTAAGCCGACACCGTAGTATGTGAGCTCACCGGTGAAAGTTGCAGTGTTGCTAGGTAGAGGAAGATTCTTCGCAGCGGCGGCCGCAGAGCTGTCGCAAGAACACGATGGTCAGCGAAATTCCACAACGTTGTTCACATGTACAGAAAGGACATATTTTGCATATTTTGTTCTCACCTTTTGCGTCCACTCAATCCAGCAGCCAGCGCAATGATGAGGACCAGGATCGCCAACATGGCCGCCAACACAATCAGAAATATCTTCCGACTCATTTTGAAGTACTTCTTATGCGGCGGAAGCGCACGGTCGAACCGGACCATGAACGCTGCTTGAGCATCGCGCATTTCATTTCGCAAATCCTTTCTTGATGTTCCAGAGGGTCTTACGCCTTTGACAGACCCGTCGGACTTTTCATTCGCGCGCTGCTCCTCCGCAGCTGCGATGTGTTCCCATTCTGGCACTTGCACTTCCTTGACATAGACCGATTGTCGCGGTCCATTGGTCTTGGGATCTTTTGCGGCTACAGTGGCCGGAATACTGATGGCAGAGTCGGACATGGTGTGGGTATGACGATGTCAACGACTGACGCAAGGCAAGCACCGGCTTTCCTGACGAAGATGTTCAAAATACTCCGCCTGCGCCTCTTTCATTGAAACCTGGGCGACAAGTTCCTGCCTGGTCGCGTTCGTTTGCAGGGCGAATATGCGCAATTGTGACGAAGGAGTGAATACTCTCGGAAATGAATGTGCGCCGGGGGAGACTCTGGGTCCACGATTCGACGATAAATGAACGACAAGAAGTGATCGGAAGTCTGCGCAAATCCTCACGTCTCCGCGGGGACGATGCCTAGACATACAAGACAGCGAGGCGGAAGACTCGTCAAGAGATTCCCTCAACACAGGAGCGGGATGTTTCTCGCGCCCAAGGTGACGATCGCCGTTTCATTGCGACAAGGCATCAAATGAAACTATTTTACGCGCCAGTGCCCCCAAGTCGCATCTGGCGTCAAAGTCTAAAAGACAAATCACCGGGCCTCACTTGCGCGGGGCCACGGGGAAATTTGGGCTTGCGGGATAAACCCTCGGATCTGCAGTACACAGATCCATTACAGCATCGGCAGCACTAGTGCAGGCTTCATCCGTCGACATACATGCCCTGCGAGCCGCCAATATGCCTCCCAACAATCCTCGTATCGCCATTGTCGGCGCCGGCTTGGGTGGTCTCACATTGAGCTTATTCCTCAAGCAACGAGGCATCACCGCTGTTCTTTATGATCGAGCCAAATCAGCGCAGCGATACAATTATGGCATCACATTATACGCCTCGACGTATCGTCCCCTGCTGAAGCTCCTTTCCATCGACGAATCTGCATTTCGAAAGCAAGTAGCAGTAGATAGTCAAAAGGACGGCGCTGGCAGAGTCGCGGATCTGGAAGACCGAGGGCTAAGCGATGCGATCCGCTGCAACCGTGGGCGCCTCGAAGCTCTTCTCCACGACAACCTTGATGTGAAATGGGAAAAAACCCTTCAATCCGTTCAGCGCGCGTCCGGGGGCAACGAGAAGACACTGAAATTCGAGGATGGGTCTACCACCATCGTTGATCTTCTCTTTGGTTGTGATGGCCCGCACTCGGCTACCCGCCAAAGCCTGCTCAGCTCGGCAAAACTTCAGATATTGCCGTATGCAGTCTACAACGGAAAGCGACGTATCGTCGAAGCGGATGTCATCGAGCGACTACTGCAGCATTTTCAAGACAGTACTCTCATTCAGGAATTACACGGAAATGTTCGACTGGAGATCGGAATCAATGACATCACGGCCTCCCACCTCGACTTGAGCTATACGTTCTCGCGGCCAGCGAAACAAGAAGGCGCAGATCCTTTGCACAGGCCTGATCGTTCCCTTGATGCATCTAGGACTACTCCAGCTGAACTTTTCGATGAGCTGAAATCATTGCGTAACCTCGAATTCCCGTTCAACGAATTGTTCGATCCGGAAAAGGTCCGAGACGACCGTCTCTTACACTGGCTGATGCGATGCATAGTTTTGGAGAAGCGTGACATCGACGAGTTGGGCTCGCAAGGGATCGCCCTGATTGGTGATGCTGCACATGCAACACCCATCCTGGGGGGTAACGGCGCCAACATGGCCATTTCGGACGCATTGGCGTTAGGTGAGGCCATTGGCTCAGATGGATTTGAAGGCGCCGTGAAGTTTTCGAAACAGCAGGCGCCCGGACAATGGACAGATCACGTCCAAGATAGCAGAAAAAGAATTGGTGCCATGCATGGGGTAGAGAAGGGTCGTTTTTAGTAGCCCCATGGTAACCATGTTCTCCAAGTAGTTCACGCGAACACGATAAAGTAGAATTGCATGCTGCTCTGCGACACAACACGTACAATGAACGCAGCTTTGAAACAACACAGTAATTCTGTACAAAGCAAACCTTGGGAGCCTGCCTAGGTAGAGAAGGGACCGACTGTACCTCAATTCAATGTTGGGCGCGCAGTCGACCTCCAGAATAAGTCACGTGACTATGTCCCAAAGGAGAAGCCAACCCCGTAACTTGATCTCATATGGATAATGCGCTACGCAGTCCCGAATGCAGGTCCATCATTCGAGATATCCGACACCGGCAAAATGCCTTCACTGCGATCAATTGTGTCGCTCGCAGCTGCGGAGCGACAGGCTGTGCTTGTTCAATGGCAGCGTAGCGGGCAATGTGTGCGATGCTTCCACGTTTCGCATCGCGCCGAAGCTGGTGCACAAGGTACTACTCTTTCAAGATGAAGGTACTCGAGAGGACAGTGCTAATGAGCTTTATCCAGACTCGCCCACAGATAGGCCACGCCAGCGTCGTCTCACCAAAATCTCGGAGGAAGTCTCTAAAGTCAGCGACTCGATGGAGCAGCACACCGATAAACGCTCATCAGCAGTCTCCTCCGAGGTGGTGGGGACGCGAGCGCGAGTTATGCGATCGGACAAAGACATGGAGGATCGTCCAAGTCAGCTTCGTCCGCGAGAAGATGAACGGGATGCACCAAAGAAACGAAGGGCGAAGACACTTAAACCGCCTCGTGATCTCAAGACGGCTGTGAGAAATCAGTTACGGAGCGACGGTATACCCTACACACCGGAAGCACTGACAGAGAAAGAGTTGCTACAAGCAGGATATGGTACTGCAACGCCTGTCGGAAAAAACTTCGCTGGCCTTTACGCGGATCGATTAGCCATGGTCGATCCTTCATTCGCAGCACCTTCTCTTCGTAGCGAGGCGCAAATCACTCGTAAGAAGGTCTGTGGCCAAGCTTTGATGACCGTGCCAAAAGCGAATCAGTGGAAAGACGGTGTGCCAAAGGCCAAGGAAGCAACGCGCAATGAGTTGGTGTCTCGTCTTGTGAAAGGAAATATTTGGGACGAGAGCAATTTGTCAGGAGAAACGAAGAAGGAATGGATCGGAAAGGCACCTTGGCTGGATACAACGCTGAAGTCTTTGATCATGAACGGGTCATACACTAAGCGGGACGTGGAGGATTTCAAAGATCGAATTCTCAAACTTCTACCAGGATCGCCCGCAACCGCGAAACCGACATCGAAGGCTGCTCCTGCGACGGCTTAAAGAATTTAGAACACTGGAGTGACGCTGTCTTGCTGTGCCGCCAAGACTTTCCTCACCACATCCAGTGGCGTCTCTGAAGCGACTCCCAGCAACTCCGAATCAGTCTCCTCCCTAGACCTAGCGACTTTCGAACGTCCACTTTTGTCGTCATACAATTGCGCAACGACAAGATCCAAGATCCATCCTGTTGTGCCCGCTTCACGTTTCGCCCTTCCGGTTTGCAACAGAGTTTGTGTGGTATTGTGTTGGACACTCCACTTTGCTCCTTCTGCCTGCTCAAATGCCGCCAAGAGTTCGTTCTGAGAAGCCAAAATCGAGAAAACCTTGACGAAACGATTCGCTGTCTGCTCCGGGTTGCGGAGGACACCGATCACCGCCTGAGCGATCCCTGCGAGGGTCGTACCTGTAAACTTTTCTGTGCCATCATCATAGATGATTGCTGTGCGCTTGGCCACGTCGAAACCCATCAGAGGGAATACTTTTATCGCCTGTACATAAGAATCTCATTAGCTTCAGTCTCGACAGTATGTCGCAAAATCATGGACCCGATTCTCACCCTGTCGATTGGATTGCCCGTCGAGATACCCGTCCATGCGAAAGCGGGATTCGCGATGGCTCTCGCTTTGGCATGATCCCAGCCAACGCGGCGCGGGGTCTGAAACTCATCCAGATCGCGTATGTTCGCTTCCGTGTCGCCCCAAGCGAAATCGTCGAGCACGAATCGTTGGACTCCAGCCGCCTCGGCAGCATCGACAAACAACGACTGTAACGGGACTCCCGGGATTCCGACTACGCATACCACTGCGTCCTGACCGGCGAAGGCTTGGGTGAGGGCGCTCAGTGTGTATTCGGTACGAATGACAGGAATGTCCTTGGGATGTTCGGTGGTGGACTCGGTTCTTGTGATGATAGTGACTTCGAAACCGGCTTCATGGAGCGCTGCTGTGACTGGCTTGCCGAGATTGCCAGAGGCCTGAATATTGCTTGCGATCAGCGATGCAGATGTCGGACATGATTATTAATGTTCACATACGCCGATCACCGCGACTTTTGATATTTCAGACATTGTAGCGATTGATTGATTTGTGTCGTGCAAAAGCACCTTGTTGGGGTCTCCATTTTGCTCATTTATAGCTCCTGGCAGCACCGAAGGATTCCAAGGTTACATATGAGCGCCGTCGGCTTACTGTCAGCTGCCACACATGCATTCGTATTTCATGCAGCAACGATTAGGCAAGGTTGGGCAACTATCTCATAAACCCGGTAACTCCTTGTCTGCTTAAGAATATATGCATGATCGACAGTGAGCGGACGTCTGAATCTGCTGTACTTTCCGTATGGAAGCTCGTAGAAAGAGCTATCCAATGGAGGATTTTCATTCGATCCACTGCTATAAAAGTGTAGCGATCTGGGAGATTGGTAATGCGTTTGAGGATGATCACCAAGCCCCTTGACGATCGAATGTACAATGCTGCACAAGACGAACTCGATGTCCCTCTGAAGCGTTTCGTGTCCGAGAAGTCATGGCCCTCGATATTCTTGACGGACGCCTTTGCGAACATCGCATTTGCTTTCGAGTTCATCGAATGACGTATCATTGACGCGATAGATACATTCTCAAAATGCCTGGTTTTGAGCAAGTCTCGCAGAATTTGGAGGGCTGCACTCATGTCACAGAACCAGAATACCCAACCGACAATGCAGATGCAGCTGTCGGCTGTCTATCAGCCATACTTATTTGAATTGTCTAGAGCACTTTGCCGATTAGCATAGTTTGCCTCTGAAGGAAATTTATATACCGCCGATCCGATTCGACACTGAGTGCCATCGACCCTGGGCGGATGTTTCGTTCAATCTTCAAAGGAACATGCTGGAGGCTGCCGTATGGCTCTATGTTGTTGCTGTCGTTAGTAATGTGCTCATACCATAGATAGCTTTTTGAGCTCTCGCGGAGTGTCTTGAACATCAATGTCTCGACAGCACACCAGGCACGCTCGTGATACTCGGCATCGACAACGCTGATCATGACATCACACTGTGCGATGATGATCGGCAAGGAGTTGATGCCCCTTTCCCTTCGGCCAGGTTCTTGATCTTCTTGATCAATGCAAGCAGAATCCTACAAAATTCAGCGTCATTAGAACGAGTTTACGGGAACCAGACTTTCTCCTGCAACACCTACCAGCCAGATATACAAATCTTGTTCATCGACCTCAGGATGGTTCATCAACAGCTGCTCCAGAGCATCAACCATGCGCCTATACTGATAATGGCGATCATTGTCCGGGCTTCTCTTATCAGAGTCTTGAGATTGTCCGATCCACCGGTAAGAGAAGAACACCAAAAGCGGCTCCCTCGTGCACGTTTCTCTAATCTGTTCATATTCCATCGTAAGATGATTGGTGTTCGAACTCCAATGAGGAAGTGCTGCGTGGTTCTTGAAGTCAGCATATCGCACGGCGCGAAGCCGATCAAACCTCTGTCGCTTTTCAGCTTGAGCAGACAACAGCTCCGCATACTCGGATCGCAAGTCTCGCATAAATTTAGTTTGTCCATTCTGTATGATAGGTCGAAAACGGCTATGAAATATCTCTCGAAAGTGTCTGCGGATCTGCGCCATTTTGTAGGCCTGTGCTATGCTTTGTACATCGAGTTGCGAGCTCAGACCCTCCTTGATCATGTCGACTGCTTGAAGGTCATTGCTGAAGACGGCATAGTCCAGAGCGCTGTAGCCTTGTTCATCATATGCGGTGAGATCAACGCCGTGTCGGATGACTTCTTGCAAGTAGAGTATATGTTCCGCCGAGGATTCTCTACAGAGGGCGATCGCTGGCGTGCAAACGCCTACGATGCCCGGAATGGAAGCGTGAGGATAGTTGAATGGTATCTTGGCATTCGCGACATCTCCTGAGTGTAGCAGCGCATGGCCATACATGAAGCGACTGAGCGACCGGATAGTCGGGTCAGCTCCAGCAGCGTCCTTGGTCATCTCCACCGCTTGATGGCCAGAGGCTAAAGCGTTCTTCAATTGGCCTGCTGCGATGTAAGTCAGCACTGAGCGCGATATGCCAATGACTCCCCATAACCACAATTTTCCAAGCCAGAAGTTGATCCAGGATTGACTAAAGCCGTGCATGTTACGGCTCCCGTGTATATTCCGCCACTCTTGCAACTTAGCCATCAGCGTCTGCGCCATTTCTACTCGCTGCGCTTGGAGGCTCATGGCACTGCCCAGTAGATTTTGTTGATCTGCTGCTTTTGCATGCCGCATGTAGAGCTGCAAGTGTGTATGTCCTAGATTGCCGGCTGCTCTGCACGTTTCCGCATCCATCTCGAAAGCCATCTTGGTGCTCAAATCAAATTGCCTCTGAAACATATCCGCCGCTTCGAGCGTCCGATCCGTCCGGTTATAGTTGATGCCAAGCTCGCCATAGATCTGACACTTCTGTTTATCGTTGGTCCCTTGCACGTTGGCCGCCTTCGTCAGGGCCTCGATGGCATCTTGATGTTTACCCTGAAATCCAGCAACCCTTGCGAGATTCAAATACAGGTCGACTTCCATTGAAACGGGCAGCCGCTCATCTTCGTACAATTTTTGAATCTCACGGAAGCAGTTCTCTGCCAGCTCCCACTGCGCAGACGACGCGTAGTAGTTAGCTTTGTCCATGAGACGACAAAAAGTCGCGATTATGTCCGCCATGTTGTGGGCGGCGCCTCCAGGCGGCGAGGCTCTCTCGCCGTGCCCTCTAGATATTATTCGTCCACATCAAGATGCCGCTTGAGGTCAGAAACGCACGACACATGAAGCGTTCGTCTGTTCGAGCAGCCTTTGAAGTCATTTTTGGGTTCGATGGGGTCGCGAGGGGCAATTAGACTTTGCCGTCAGCACCACTGGCGGTCACAATTCTGTGCCACAACGGGGCCTGAAATAGCTTCCTGATGACATGTCCGCTGAGAGCAACTCCACCTATGACTTTGCTCATTCACAGATCGGTACGTACACGGATGGCCGGGAGACATTTTATGCGTTCCTCGTACATGAGCTTCGTGATTCCCAATTCTAAGTGTACCAGGCTTTGGCACAACAATCCCCATTTGCCCATAATCATGACATGCAGTTGAAGGCTCCTGCAGCAACTCCGCATATATAGTCCACCAGTGTTGGAGATCATATTCGATCGTACATAGAAGTGTATGCCATTTGATATGATGTCACATTTATCACTCGATGTCTGATCAAACGGTACATTGGGCTTGGCGGATGGACAATCAATTGGACATGCGACGAGCCGAAAGGTCAAGAGAATGAGGTTGAGGTAATGTAAAAAAGACAGAATGGGTAGGGAAATCATCGATGGGAGTAGATTTGAAAACACAGGAGTCTCGATATAACTCGAATGCCTCGGTTGCAGTGTGGCACACGTCATCGCGAGAAACTCAGTGACGAGGAGGAACACATAGATATGGTAAACGATGATTGAACTTGAGAATGTTTGGATTTTCATCTATCAACATGCTTTATCCTTCGTCATGTACATACAAAGAAGTCCTAGCCAGGACCCATGCCCATTTGGTATCATTCCTGGAGCCGAAAGTATATTTAAAAAAACCATGAAACGCCGGGGCTGTACTGCGTACAGTACGCCATATGCTCCTCGCTAGGACGCTGGTATCCTTTGCGAGTGAAATTATTTCGAAATCACGCTTAAACAATCTCCTTGACATCGCTACCGAGTGGAGCTTGATGCGCGCCGTGAGCCTCGATGTAGAGAATGGTGCTGTCGAGAGCAGCCTCCAGGTCGACGTGGAAGAAAGGACGGTTGAGACCGTGCACAAGCGCAGTCTTGTTGCCGTGTTGCTGAGTGACGGTGGCGAGGTGCTTGTCGATGCTGGTATGGTCGGCGTTTGAGGATGAAGCAGAGATGGCGTCGGTAGGCACCCCGCGCTCGGCTTCGGCGCCGCGTGACGAGGTAGCTCGGAGACGGTTCTGGCGATCTTCGGCGTCGGCGGCAGCGCTGAAAGAACCGCCGATCTCAGCGACACTGTAAAGTGGTTGCCAGCGAGTGTGATCGGTGCCCTCGGAAGGTGGGAGACCGAAGCCGGCCGAGACGAGAGCACGCTTGGCCCAGCGGTTGGAAACACCAGCGAAGTGCCATTGTACCCGGTCTGGGCTGGCGTAGCGATCGAGTTGATTGCGTACGTCAATGAGGGACTGCACGGAAGTGATGTCGGTGTTGTTGACGGAGGAGAAGTCGAGGATGACAGCCTTGAGTGTAGGCTTGTTCTCTTCATAAGCAACGTCCTTGGCCTTGCGAGGGGCAGGGTCATTCCATGGGCGATCGCCAGGTCGGGCATATGCGTTGGGGTTCGTGCGCTGAGTCTGCTCGAAGATGATCTCGGTGAGGTGCTCGAGCTGGTTGTTGGCGTTGGGGAAGGCGAACCCCTCGGTCAGGCGGTAAATGAACACGCCCGGGTAAGGAGAGTGAGCCTCGACGCTTGGGTTAGAGCCGTCGCCATGGTCTGTGGGAATGAAAACTGAGCGGAGGTTTCCTGCATCCGCATCATTCTTGTCGTCGGTGGTGTTGTTGGAGATCTGTCGGACCTTGACGCGACCCAAGGCACGACCCTGGGACCAGAACAGGCGGATGATGTACAAGGCAAAAGATGCAGCCATGGTGACGTAGACGCCGTTGTCGATGCTGCTGAAGACGATAGTGAACACTCCGGCAAAGAAGATGATGAACTCCAGGGGGCTGACACGCCAGAACTGGTATACAGTGTTTGGAGGAGTGATCAAATCGCCAACGGCGTGAATGATGACAGCGCTGAGTGATGCGTTGGGAATGAAGAAGAAGACTGCGGTCAAGGCGTAAATGGCGATCAGAACGACGATTCCAGTAATGACACCGGCCAACGGAGTTCGGACACCGGCCTTGGACTTAATAGCAGTTCGGCTAAATGATCCGGTGGCAGGGTAGGCGCCGACGAAAGGACCAATCAAATTAGTGATACCGATGGCGATCAACTCCTGCGATGGGTCGATGCGGTAATTGTTGACACGACCAAACGACTTGGAGATGGAAATATGCTCGATCAGGAGAACGATCACACCGACAGGGATCTGGCTGGAGAATAGGCCGATGATCTTGTCGTTGACCTGCGGAACTCCTGCGTGTTGAAAGCCTCGGGGTACGGAACCAAGAATGGAGAATTTGGCCTTCTTTTGATCCCAGTTGATGTTCATGTTGGCGAGATAGCTGATCAGGGTGTAGAGAAGAATGACGAATGCAGTACGCAGAGTGTTCAGGAAGAACCAGGTTCGTTTATGTTGGGGGTAGGCCTTGGCCATGTAGTTGAAGAAGGAACGGATGATGTAAAGCATCGCCAGAGCGCTCACGCCCATTGCGGCGTCGAGACCAGCCCACCGGAGGTTGGTCAAAACGCCAATGACGACCTGGTAGGTGGGAGCTCTGTTGTCAACATGATCTTTCGTGATTCCCAACAAGCTGGGCACTTGTCCAACAGCAATATTGAGCGCCGAGCCAGTCATGAATGCGGTGATGGATGCGAGTGTAATGACTTCGGTGAATCTGCCCAGTCGTAGAATACCGATGCCGAAGACAATGCCGCCAAGGATCACAGCGAGGGCGGACGCAATGACCGGTCCAGGAATACTCTTGTCGATCGCTTGGGCAGAGAGAACAATGTTACCAACGACGGTCGACATGACAGCAACAGGCTGTATGATTGATCAGCAAATTTCCCGCGCGACATATCCGCCGCTGACGCATTTCTTGAACTTACACCAATAGTAATATCCTTCGATGTCGCAAAGAACCAGTAGAGCATTACGCCCATGAAAGAAGAGTACAGTCCATATGCAGGTTCAAGTTGGGCGAGTTTGGCGTATGCCATTGACTGAGGCACGACCACAGCGCCAACAGTGATACCCGCGACGAGATCGCCGTAAAGCCATTGAAGGTTGTAGTATCCGATCCAGTTAAGGAAGGGGAACAAGGACAGGAACCATCGGAGGACGCCGCGAGGAGTCGGGACAAGCTCGCGGAGCCAATGTACAACAGAGGGTTCCTCTTCGACGTAGCTGTCGGCAGTGTCGATGGAGTATGCGGATTCACCGCGGGTGACGGGGTCGTGGTGGTGCTCCTCAAGTTTGATGCCGAGCACTTTGGCGAAGCCACGACCAACTTGGTCAGCGGAGGGAGCCATTCTGATGAGTTCCGCTCTCAGAATGAACAAGAAAGAGATAAAGTGAGTCAAACTGAGTGATGAAGCATATTCAAGAAAGAGAGACGGATATTGCGATAGTTATTTGTAGACCTGCCAACAGCACGGATGGTGTGTCTGTAGCGGTTCTCGGGCCTACTAGTTCAAAGTCTAAAAAGAATGGAGCATATTGCAAACAGCGCCACTCGCGTGCGAAAGAAGGTCTCTTGGACGTTCTGGCACAGCCTAGGTTTTGCTTCTATGGGGGGAGATGATGGACTAAACTCAAAGGAAGAGCATGTGGTGTGGTGTGGTGTGAAGCGTGGTGGTTGAATAGAACATTGAGCGAGATGGTAAGCGAACATGTTTGCATGAATTTGCGACATGTAGCGATCTGGGCCGAGAATTCGTGCATACTGTTCGCAATGGCGACAGATGGTGATAAGCTTGCCAATAACGCCACTCGAGTCCTCGGCACAACGTGGATGAGGACAAGATGCGACAAGCAATAACAACAAGATTGCCCAGAAAAGTCAAGATGTGCTTTGTCAACGGCAGGGTATCGATGGCGCATTGCTTATCCCGAGCACGATTATGATACCATTCACGGATGATATGAGCTGCAAGCAGATCACCGGAGAGATGTAAATTGTCGCATGGCGGAGCATGAGCGACGAGGGACATCATCGTCGCGCGTCATTACCAGTCTGCAGGGAAATACAATGCACACGATATCCCACGTTGTCGCCCGGTGACGGAGAGTTCGCCCTGCTGCGGCACGTACGATGCGGTACGGCGTTGTTCGGAGCAGACGGAAGCCCACAAATGGGCGTGCACCCATGCGGTACACGGACCTGTCATCATTGAGCGATAGTATTGATAGTGTGAGACGAAGTTCGTTCAGGGATCCCATCACTTCATGTTGGTGGACTTGTCTTGTACGGATGAGGTTTGAAGCAAATGGCGTGCTCGCGTCGCCAAGTGAGGTCGGAGCCACTAGTCTGCTTTCAGCCGTCAGCCCGCCTCCCCCGTGGGAATTGAGACCCAATCACAGAGACGCTGGAAGTCGTGATTGACGTGGACCGCTCTCGCTGAACTTCTAGGAGCGTCGGAACCGCCTCTTCATCGGTAGAATTTGCATTATTGCTCGTCTCTTCACCTAAGTTGATCGCGCGTGATGAGATGGCTCGCGATTGACCTGGACTTACGTTCGTGACAACGTGGTTTTTGGGAATTGATCGCGTGGCCAGATCTCGCATGGCTTGAGACGAGTATTGGGCTTAAATCGGAGGAATCCGAAATGGCCCTCTTCTACACGCCATAGCAATGCGCACGCTGTACGCCGCGTATAGGACCTAGTGAGACGTGGGCCCTGCCTCACAAACCAAGCAATCACACTCATCATGTCGGGCAATAGTATGGTATCCACTTCTGTGACGCGAAATGATGCAGAGACTCCATATCTCCGTGCATTCACAGCGAGATTCGAAAACCTCGATCTTGGCTGCGTAGAAAATCTACAGCATTTGCACGCTGATCAATGTCCAAGCGGACCTGACGATGACGACGACAAAGGCTCCGAGCTTCCGGCTGCGAAAGACTTCACTGCTATCATATCATCGTCAACGTGCATGGAGGCCACTTGCCCGCAATCTAGCCCTACGTAATGAAATTCGTTCGGATCAGATATACTTTTTCTACAATGCAAATGCACTGCTTGACATATTCTCGCACACCTTGTCAGGGGCATGTCATGAGCTTGCCGATTCATGATATCTTCAAAAATGGAGAAGCCTTTCACCATTGTAGACAGATTTGTTGCTTGGATCTCACATCATGTCAATCCGACCGGTAAAGATTCGGTAAAGCTACTCAAACTCTGTTGCCTCTCAATCCGCCCAGTCATGTAACATGACATGTTTACGTATTTTCATTGCCAGGCGCAGTGTATGTTCCGACCAAAAGGTGGCAGGAAAATCGCCTGACCGCACGCGATTGATCCTTCGGGATCAATGTCGGCACATCGTGTGGAGATTAGGCATGTTCGCCCACGTCGGTGCATGCCGATTTTCAGACCTGACGCGTGCTACTCCTCCAAGTAGAGGACACTGGACGAGGCGCAGTGAAAGGATTCTGCACCAACAACAGGCCCGACTTCATGGAAAGACCGGCAAGTGTTCAAGCGTATTTAAGTGGGTACGTGCATTATTGAAGGATGTCGACGGCACGACTGCCGGTCCGGCTCGGTCGGTCGTTCCCGCGCGGCTGAGCAGCGAGGCACGTGCGAGGCAAACACGCATCAATACTGTGCTGGCCAGCGGTACCACGACAATTGCACTTCGCCTGACATCAACCTCCAGAGTCCGGCGGGATTAGCTCAGAGAGTCGGAACTCATCGATCATGGCCAGTCTAGATTCGTTCCTGCAGAATGGACCAGTGGACGGTGACCGAGTTGCCGGTCTGGAGGAGTTGAGGAAGGTCGTTCTCCTGGACGGTATACCCGCCAATGGCGAAGGCATGGTATGTCTGCTCTGCCACAGTGGAATCATTCTGCCGTAGTGATGCCAGGTGTCGTCCATACTAATATGCAACACTGTGCGTCAGTCTGAACTACGAATATACATCTGGCTCATCCTTCTCAATGCCCCGCCAACTCGAACAGAGACATATCTGGATCTCGTGCGGCAAGGTGCCTCGCCAGCATACGCAAAGATTCGTAACGACACCTTTCGTACTTTGACGACAGATCCTTTGTTTCGGCGACGTGTGACAGAGAATAGCTTGACTCGCGTGCTCAACGCCATCGCTTGGAAACTTCATGACGCCAGTGAGGCTCGTATCAACGGCTGGATGTCTCCGCCGACACTTGACATCCCCAAGCTCGATGCCACAGGTTCAGTCGATCATCCCTTTCACTCTCCGGCGTCTGTACATAGCCGATACACACGCGGGTCTATCACCGGCACAGAAGGTTCTGACGCAGGCGAAGGCGCTGCGACGCACATCGGCTATGTTCAAGGTATGAACGTCATGGCTGCACCATTCCTCTACGCTGCACGTAGCGAAGCCGAAGCATTCGCGGCCTTTGATAGATTTATCACGCATGAGTGCCCGGGTTATGTACGCGGCAGTATGGACGGAGTGCACAAGGGACTCGCGCTCGTCGACCAGATTCTGGCGATTGTAGATCCGAAGCTTGCTACACACCTTGCTGCCAAGGGCATGAAAGCAGAGATCTACGCCTTTGCAAGTGTACTGACGATGTGTGCATGCACTCCTCCATTGCCGGAAGTTCTTATCTTATGGGACTTCCTTTTCGCATATGGACCTCATCTAAATCTGCTGTGTATCGTCTCGCAACTTGTGCTCGTGCGAGACTCGCTGCTGAACAGCGATTCGTGAGTGTTTGCAACGCCCGCCGAATCGGGAGCTAGATTGCTGACTATTCAAATCTAGGCCCAAGCCTGACTTCAAGCCCTTGCAGGCTCGTAAAGTGATCGACTATACTGTCAACTTTGCGCGTAAAATCCCCGAGGACTTGTACGAGCAAATGCTGCATCATGCAAAGTGATACTGTAGCATGGGGCGATCCCTGGTCCTCGTTGCAGGAATCACACTCATGCGATGGCGTATCGATCCTTATTGTGCCGCATGGGTCCATTGATTGTGAATCTCATTCAATTTCTAATCGGCACAAGTTCACTCAGCATCACAGGACGCCCGCAAAAGGCGAGCTGAAGTTCCACCCGTTCCGCCCGGGCTCGAACGTTCCACGAGCGAAAGCAATCCGCCGTGATCCATATACAGCTTGCAGTCCGAGACACGCAGCTGAAGCTCCAGACTACGATGGCGTGTGCTTTCGAAATAACTTTCAGCCATTAGCATGGTGTATGTGCAGTCGGAAAATCGGCGCTTGGATGGGATGCAGCCGTCTTGGCTGCATGAATCGAAGCCCCGATTGCAGAACTCTGCCAGTCTCGACGGTCGGCAATTCATGCCTCAACCACGCCCAAAGCGTGGGCTCGACGCCGTTGGGCGTGGCAATGGGGGAGATGATCGATTAAAGCGGCCGTGGCATGCGTGGGAGCTTTTGGAGGCGCATACGGTATGGCGTGATGGCGTGCTCGCTTCACTGAACCCTGGCCCAACCATCGGAAGCACGCGATCAACAAATCAACATCCAGTACGAAAGCGAGATCGTGGCGACATAGCGAAATGATCTGCATCTTCGCGACGTCGAAAGTGGGAATGAGATTTCGCTTTGATTCTGGCGAACAATCATCCCTAACATAATGTCATTCTGATCTTCAATCTGCGCCTTTCCGCCCTTACAACGGGGATAGATCGCGCAATGAAGTCACTGCAACGTGTTTGCGGGGTCTATTGACGTTGAGAGACTTGGGTTATGTTGATGTACTTCCTTTTTCCGGATTATTCTACCCATCGATGGATTTGGTGACACTAAGCCGCCGCCGCCGCCCAGGGACAATGGGATAGGCGCATTTGCCACGGAAGCACGCCAAACCGAGTACCACGACTGCGCTCTCGCGACTATTGACACGGTGGGCTCGAGCGCTCTTTCTATATCGTCCGACCGAGGCCCTCTCCCACGGCAAGTCAGTGGAGTGCCGCGCCGCAACTCGTCACGCTTACATTTTTGCAACGACACATTACAACGCCGATGGGCAGGAGCAAGAAAGAGGAGGTACGGACAAACCTTGCATTTGTTCGCGCACAGCCATGAGATATATATATGCGCAAGTTGACGCGAACATGTCTCAGCTTCCGAGGGACAGGCTTGAAAGATATTTTACGATTCGCACGCAGCCTCGTCGCATATCTGAGTCTATCGCGTAGAATGTGTATGTACGATCGCTATCCGTGCTGCAATATACGTTCCCTCGTATCCCTCGTTTCCGCGCTGTGAGGGCAGAAAGTTGTTCATAATCGGCGTGATGTACATCAGCAACTAGAAACAGATATTGCCGCTCATTGGACGGCTGAAGGAGTGACGAGGACCGCGTCTTACGCACGAGGCGTCATGGCTCAAAGTGATATGAATGCTCGCTGCGGTTCTAATTGCGGCCCATTGGCGAAGACATGCCTGCAAGGCTACAATTTCACATCTCACCACACTGCGCGATCGCAACGTCCTGCACCGGCTTCTCGCCTCGCACGCGTACCCGCTCCATCATCTTGACAATGTCCATTCCCTCGATGACTTTGCCGAAGACAACATGTTTGCCGTCCAAATGCGGCGTAGGCTTGCATGTGATGAAGAATTGGCAGCCATTTGTGTTCGGTCCAGAATTCTGAAATCAGTGTAGACGTCAGAATGAAAGTCGCAACGACATGAAAACATCCTTCAAGCATGTTTCCTCCATCCTTCTACAATTCGTAATATAGCACATAATATAGCGAAAGACAACCAAGCAAAGAACTCCACTTACCGCCATACTCAGCACTCCCTCCGCATCATGTTTACCCGCGAATCCCTCATCCGCAAAATTCCTTGTGCCGTAAATACACGTACTTCCAGTGCCATCGCCATTGATAAAGTCGCCTCCCTGCAACATGAAATCGGCGATGACGCGGAAAAATCGCGTGCCCTTGTAGCCTTGCGGTCGACCTTTCTCGTCCAGCGACTCGCCCGTGCAGAATTGACGGAAATTTTCGGCGGTGCGGGGGACGACGTCGGCGTGTAGGGCCATCTTGATGCGGCCCAGTGGCTCGCCGCCGAGGGTGATGTCGAAGAAGACGATCGGGTTGGGGGAGCTGGTTGTCGATGCCATTGTTGATGTCTTGTTCTCATGGAGAGTGGCGCGGCGAGGTTGACGAGATCTGCGTGGTAGTAGCTTGAGTTTCCAGCGGGTTCTATCGAGTCGTGTGCGTTAATGACTTTACAGCCAGAATCCTTCTCCGACCAGGTTCTTTTCCGAGCGTATGACTTTAAACGAATTGTGTTGAGAAGACTTTGGCGACTGCTGTCGTGCGGGTATCAGATTGCTCATCTCCAACGCGACCAAGTGAAATGTGACCAATCGCAAAATTAACGATGTGGGGATGACTAAGGATGACTACGTCCTTAACAATCTATCCTCATGAAGCATGTCCTATACCAATTGTAACGACAGCATCAAGGTCACTGGACATGGCAGACAGTCTCAATCTCCGTCATCGTGAGACTGTTCATGAATATCGAAAGCTCGGTCGTAACCCACAACCCCAACCCTATGAGAGCGGAGCATGCGTTTTATCGGCGGCGGGCTGCCGACCGTTGAGGGCACGGCAAGCCGCCGGAGATCACTTGAAGCTTGGCTATATCGGGCTTGTTGGCGGCGTGGTTATCTTGGAGACAGCCGTGCTGAGTGAAACCGCGAATATCATATTCCGACCCCAATTCTACAGTACACCTCATGAGGAAGGATAGAGTTGAGCATCCAGTAATTCTATCCATCTTTCTTTCACATATCAGCCGAGTCCCTGTTTGGAATCTACTCTGTATTTCTGATACTTTCATGGACCGGAATCGCGATGGAAACACCTCCCATTACGCGTGGGAGCGGCTAACCCCGGCCGACGCCCGCCAGAACAGCTATGTAGGTGACTGAATGCTGCCACCGGCGGAAACAACGGGCGGCATGGAACTTATACGTCGAGCAAAGTCGCAATCATCCACCGTCGAAGCCGACTTCCTTCCAGAAGTAGCTGCTTCAACACAGCCAACGCAGCACTCGCAAAGCCTTGTTCATGATATAAGGCCTACCCAATCATGGAGCCGACTAATTGGTCGACCGGTCAATCCCATGGTAACAACACCGCCATGCCGTTCCCTGCAGAACAAACCGGAAACGATTATCCTAAGTTCGTGAATCCGACATCTCTGCAAATCAACATGAGCACTGTGCCTCCTGGCCACATTGTACAGACCAATGGCTCCACAATGAGTTACAATGCCGCTCATCCAGACCTGCAGCATGATGACGCATCAGCGTACGGCATGCAATACACAACAACACCCGTGGCCGACCACGGGAGCCCGTCTCGAAACGTCGCCTCTGTCTCAGGACAAAGCTCGTGGCCTGTAGCTACAGCCTCTAGGGCTCGCGGAGGTACCGATCTCCGGCCACAACCTATTGGATGCCGTGATTACACACAGTCGCATTCGTCTCGACATCATTCGCAGCTGGCAACAGGCTTCTCTTCAGAGAACCCTTCACAGTTTCCAACCTCGATTACGTCCACTCATGTAGATGAGCGTCAGGATAACGAAGCGGAAGCAAGCTGGGATGACGAAGATGAAGCCCGCTGCTCAACGAAGGCAAATCAAAGCTTGTTCAGGAATATATCCCGTATCTCCAAACAGCCCGGATCGGTCTATGTCACCGAGGCATTGTCGCTAGATAGGAGAAAATTAGCGCATGAATTCGCAAAGTACAAGAACTGCAGCCATTTCACGTTCGGTCCCGACACGAACAGTTGCATGTTCTTTTCCGCCGATGCGATCGATCCGGCGTTTCAAGCTACTTTCAAGATGAATCAGGCGGGAAGACACGGCTGCTGGAGCCGTTCTTTTATTGATGCATACGTCCTACCCAACGTCGTCAACATTCAGGATCTTCCATTTGACATCACGGAAGATGAAGTCCGCAGGAAGCTTCTCGTGTTGAACTTGCCCCCGCCTGAGAGTATACGAATTTCGCAAGCAAAAGGCATTGGGGCCCGTGCCGTTGCCATTTTCAAAGATGCGGCAGGCGCGGCCAAGACTGTTGAGGAATTGCATGAGAAGAAGATACGACCCAACGATCCGCTCCGCGTGCGAGTTTCGTACGAGCGGTTCTTCGTCGCGCCATCACCGATCGCCCTTGATCAGTTCAGCGCGGTCAACACGATGACGGAGATTAATACGATGAACAATGCCGAGCCCTCGTACTCCATTCCAAGAATTTTACGGAATGCCTCGCCAGAGTCAAATCCCACGATGGCGGCCAGTGATGGCCAGCCCACGACTTCTTTGAACGGTGTGCTGGAAGGAACATGTTTCGTTTCCACGATCACTCCATCTGGAGACGGTCATACCTCAGTACAGCCTGCTTCGTCAGCGCTATCGAACACATTGACCCAGCAGCCGACAAGATCAGAAAATGACAAAGTCAAAAGAGCTCTCATGATCGGAACAACACAGCTGCTCGCGCCCCCCACAGCAACGACGAGTCGATCGCGATCCAATTCGAGAGGATCGGCCGATGGCAGTGCACCCGGATCCAGCTACGGCTCAGAGTGCGCAAGTCCATGCGAATCTGTCACTGCTTCCGATTGGAGCGGTACAAGTTTGATAGCTCGCTTTGAAGAGCTAGATGCAAGCGCAAGTCCAAACAATCCCAAGAAGCGTAAACGCCATCAGTCCAAGAAGGATCACTTCAAGTGCGAAGGTTGTGATAAGTTGTTTGACCGGCTATGCGACCGTACTAAGCATGAGAAGCATCATCTCCTCGAGGGCCAACGTCCTTTCGAGTGTCCCATGTGCGATCATGATTGTGTCGAAAGGAAAGATGTAAGACGCCACCTTGAAGGAGTTCACAAGATCCCTCTCGAATCCGCCCGCGAGATTGCCGCCAAACTCTCGACTCGTGCGGCCCTACCCCGTCCCGAGCATACCCAGCGCGACATTGAGACGAGGCAGAACCTTGAAGCAAAGGTCAACAACGTGGACGGTACAAGCCTGTACCCTGCAGACTTGTCAATATCCGCGCACAATCCCAATGCACAAAATTGGGAGAGTACCGTCAATGTCGCCCCCTGGGACGATGTCCTTTATGATCCCTAAAGCTAGAACTTCTATCTTTGAAGAATATAGGAACACAGTATATATCAAGTATTTGCATATTTTATGATGATGAAATTCTACTTTCTTCTCCAGCGGGTAGATTAACAGGCGATCGCATTGATCTCCGGACGACCTGAAGCTATCTTCCAACATTCGCTTGCATCGTTATGCCTCGAACATTTCACTCTTGCAATATAACAGCGGCGTAAGTGGAAATAAGATTCTAGCATTTGATACAAGCGCCGTGCCCGTCAAGACGGCGTCTCACAAGCGAACGGTTGTCTGCAAGCCGGACATTCTTAGTGCCTCGGGCATGGGCCCCAAGCGACGATCGGGAGGCACGCCACAGAAGCGTGACAGTCCAGAACTTGATGCGACAATTTCTCGCTTTGCAAAGCCTTTGTCAAGGCCTAATATGAGGAAATCAAAGGCAAAGGGTCGATCTTTGCGGGTGCGATTTCGTGGCCCTTAAGATTGTGTGCACAAGTGTACCCCCAAGTGCGTAGAGGGCAAACCTTGAAGGGAACGCCGACGACTTGGGACGTATGAAGCAGGCGGGCAGTCTCGGAACCACTGACCTCTTTGGGTCAATGGGCGGAACCCCGCACTTTGGAATCGGAGGTGATGGCGCGCGACGTGCATGCGCCTCAGTGATGAATGGTGTTGGAGATATGGGTAATTCATGGAGAGAGACGAACGCTTTGCTGGCGTCAATTTCTCGTTACTAAAAGCAGGAATTTTTGATGGTATTTGCGTGAAACCTGTCTGAATGTCACGTGCCATAGCCGAGGACAGGCGCTTTGCAGTGTCAGCTCCTCGTCTCACGTCCATCGCCAGAGCTGGGCACGAAAGCATCTAATGGCACGGCCGTTTCATCGTTGGACCCCCTCGAAAAAGCCGCTGGTTGTAAGGCTGCGATCAAGTAGATCGTGGATCAACAGGCTTATCGTTTCAAGTATGCAACTAGCTATGATCAGGTCTAAAGAGTCTGCCAGGAGACGGCTGCTGTCGGTCATCGCCGAAACTCTAGTGCTGTAGTGGAGCTGCTTTTCGTCATACCGGTGAGTGAACGTTAAGGGCGGCTTGAGGTTATAATTCCGTTCCGACACACCATATCACTATGATTCCTCGTCCTCTCTTGTTTGCTGCGGTCGTCTCCTCTAGTCAGTAATTCATTCCCAAATTTTGCACTGCCCCATGGCTGTTCCGTCGTGGGACATGGATGAAAATGACATGGGCGCTGCATCAGCGAGCAGCGCCCAGAACGCGCAATATTATGCTTACATCGGGCCACCAGCCGGTCAGGGAACACAAGCTCCGCCAGCCGATAGCTCAAATCAGCCAATCATCGACGCTGGGCACGCATCGTACATGAATCCACTGCAGCAATATATGCCACAAACAGCTGTCGCTGGGCCACAACACTCGGCACATAATCCTCCTATCCGTCTACCAACAGTACAGCAGCTTTCACAAGTACTTGCAGCAGCCCTGACAACTCATTGTGGTAATGATCCTCTACAATCCTCATCAAACCTTGATGTTCTCGCGGCACAACTAGCCATTCAACTCCACCTGATGTTCGAAAACCAACAAACGTCGCACGAGCCACCTGCGCCTTCCACAGTCCACTATGGTTATTCCGATGCCGATACCGACGCCAGTTGGAACGCAGGATTGGAGTCGGGAAAATCAGGAGAGTACTTTGATGCACTGAACGAAGGTATACAGCGTATCAAGGGAGAATCTGGGGGCCATGTGCTCTCGACGCCATTGGCCTATGAAGATCGGAGGCTAGTGCATTACCTGGCTCGGCAGAGCAACTGCAGCCACGCAACCATCGGAGATGGCAAGTTGCGTCGCGTCCTCATCTGGGCAGATGCAATAGTACCGACCTTTACAGGAAACAACCGAAGACGGGCAAGTTCATGGAGTCGTCGTGGTACAGTCGGCCACTATGTCGTTCCGAATGGGATCATCATCCAGCACCTTCCTCATGACGTCACACACCACGAGGTCACAGACGCCTTCCGAGTGCTCGGGCTGCCGATTCCGAAGCGCTTACAACTTGCCGACAATGTATCGTCTCATCACGCCGAGGCCGAATTCGACAATGCCGACGAAGTCGCAGATGTTGTAGCCAAATTGCAAGGAAAAACGTTACGGGAAGGCGACACATTACCTTTACGATTCCAGTATCAACGCAAACCCGTCGAGCAGAGAACAAATGTCGAGCAACATGGGCTCGATCTGCTTGGCGGAAACTCCATCGACGTCCCCGTCACTGGACTGGCGAGCTGGTCTCAAGACCCCGTTATCTACACAGCCACCATGCCACATAGCTTCAATACAGAGGCTGGAGTAAGCGCAAATGGCAATGCGAATTTGCCAGGCGTTATTGGCGCAACCAACATGGTCCCCACTCTGCAATCACCTGTGTTCAACTTCAATGCCACACTCCAGACACCCCGGACACCATTTCCATCCTTCTCTCAGTCCCCGCAAGCATTATACGATCAAAGAAGCAATAATCGTCCTCTCAACACCGCCAGGCACCTCAGCGTGCCCTCCGTCTTGAGCAAACGGCCCAGCTCCGGAGCCTCCAGCGACGAAGGCGGCCACAGCGAATACCTCTCCGCAACAGAGGGAAGCGCAGCCAGCGGATCTGGATCTTCGCGACGCAGACGCAACCCGCGCATCGTGAATGGCTATCCATGCGGTAAAGAACTCTGCGAGCAGTCATTCGATACGCAAGGAGAATGCACGAAGCATCGTCGCAACCATCTTCCTATTGATCAGCGCCCATTCCCATGTGTCTACTGCTCCCTCGCTTTCCTCGACAGTCGCGACCTCCGTCGTCATCTCAAGGCAGGCCATAAACTTGACACTGCGACCGCCGTGCGAGTCGCTCTGAACGCTAAACCACGTGTGCAACCACCGCCAGATTGGGATCAGCCCGACTCTGCAGGACCGACACTGCGGGTCCCCGATGACCGGATCAGCAATAATGGTGCCTCGAGTCCATACACTCAAGGATCATATACACCTTATAATCGCTCTCAGGAGCAGAGTCCGACCGGCGTCGTCAATCACGCAGACTATCCGGGCATGATTCCGGATTCTGATGCTTTTTCTTTGGAGATTTAGAAGTACGTAATGAAATTGATGGTAATGAAATAATGAATGATTCCGCTTCCATTCCCTCCAATCCGTGCAACCTCGTCCTTGATCGTGTTTCAAGTTGGGGATCAACCTCAGATACAAATGATTCCGTCTATCCATGCTGGGAGGCACGTGAGATAGGTTGTCAAAGCTCAGAGGCGTGTTGGACTAACTGATCGTCTTCAAGGCTGGATGATCGCAACCACAGGCATCACAAGCATGTTTTGAATGTTTGGGGAGAGTCGTTGTTACAGGAGCCTGTGAGATCGGGCTCCGACACGCAAGCACGGTGGGAGGACATGAGCGGATAGGATCGCACGATAGATATGAAAGTGTCTCTTTGTGGATGCCGTTCCGTCATTGACGAAGCATGGTCTTCGTCTATAGTCGCTGCCATCTGGCTGAATGTTCTCGAAGGTTACGCCGTGGCTGTTGAAGCATGTGCGGAATTGCAGCGTTGATGAAAACATGTCATTTCACGCAAGTACGCACTTAGATTACTTGTGCACGACATTTCCAGATGGGACGCTTGGTACTTGTCTAAGTGATAGCTAGTGAGGGAACGCCATTGTCGGGGTGTGGGTGCTCGACATGGGTCCAACCTTGATATTTTCTAGCCCTATCAATGTGACCCACAATCTGCAGCATGTACAGCCCATTGGCGCCAGTGTTTACATAATAACACAGTGCCAATTCAGGCAGGTATATTTCGCTCTCATGGTCGTAATTGCGATGTCTTTGCTCGCCTGCGTTGGCGCCCGCATTTGCCTAGCATAAGTATCAGATCGAATTAATTGGATCTCTGCACTCACATTGGCACAGCTCAGGCTGCCTTCAGTGATCTCCCCAACGAAGTCTCACTCGTCACAGTACCGATAACGACTAATTTCATCTGGGGCAGCTGCTTACAGCTTCGTGGCACACAGTCAGTTTCAGGATGCCATACTACCCTATCGATGGCGTGGAACCTCTACGAGAGTATGTTTATGGCGAATAGCATCCAGTCGTACCTGATTGCGTTTTGTCAGATCGCTACCGGATAGTACATAAGCTTGGATATGGGGGCTTCTCGGTAATATGGTTATGCAGAGATCAAATGGACAGCCGATACGTCGCGATGAAAATTGGTAAATCACGATCAATCGATAAATCTCCTCGCGAAGTCGAAGCTCTACGCACACTGGGTACCAGCAAGATGGTACCTGAAGTCTTCGACGTCTTCGATGTCGAAGGACAGAATGGCATTCATGCTTGTTACACAATGTCTGTAGCCGAAGGCGATCTCGCATGGGCTAAGAACGACAATTGTTTCTCCCTCTGAGTCGCCCGAGCATTATCTGCAAAGCTCGCGCAAATCATTTCTGCAATGCACTTGCGTGGCTACTGCCAAGGTGGTAGGTCCGGCACTTCCAAGGAAAGCAGAACCATACTAACGCCTTTAATGCAGACTTCCGACTCAGGAACAAACTTGCGGAGCTCAAACCCCCTATCGACGATCTTGACGTGGAAAGATTTCGAAGGGAGGTTGGTACACCCGAAATGGAGCCCGTGGAACTATTTGGCGACGGGAATTTATCATGTCATGTTCCGCCAGAAGTATGCCCACCTTTGCAATCTTTTTACAGGTCTGCCGACGCGTATACAGTCAAGGATGCTTGTGGCGTCGTGCTGGCCGACTTCGGACAAGCTTTCCGTCCTAAGCATGATGAGAGCAAGGGCAGACACTGCTCCACACCGTTTCAGTTTCAAGCTCCGGAAGCCTTCTTCCAACCCAATGAGAACCTTTCGTACCCCTCGGATATCTGGAGTCTCGCTTGTAAGATACGGGATCTTCTCGGATTTGAATAGTTGTTCACTCATGGTAGTGGGCACTATGATAATGTTATGTCCGATCAGCTTGATACTTTGCCGCATGATAGCTTCTCACAGTCCTGGCGAGAGGAGTGGGGGCGCCGAGACACCAGCAAAGATGAAAGCTCTTTGTGCCAGAAATCATGATTCCGGCTTCTCGCGATATCGGAATGACGGAACGATACCTCTAGAATGCTGAGTATACTAGATCAAAGCTCAAAATTCACTCGAGAGGTCTTTGTAAATTGCTGAGAGTGGCCGCGAGGTAGCCCGCTGCGGAATGCGGTTGCTCAGATTCGATTCTCAACACGCAGATGCAGCTACCTTTGCTGAAACGTATTGCTTGTCCATTGGTCGCATTAACATCGGTAATGCTCGGCCCGATCTATCCTAAATTTGCTTACAAATGGCGATTGAGCCATCTAGTTGCCCGGCCATGACATAGGAGGTCTGGTGTCACACCAGCACATCAGGCGATGCATCACAGAAGAAACGGGAACATATCGATGTGATTAGTCGGATGTTGACGCAAGTCCTCTGCCTTGTGCGACGACTTTTCGAGGAAACCAAAGACATATTGCCAGCTACCCTTGGCACACACACACCCCAAGTGCTGCACCGCAGACTAAATTGGCATCACTCCGATGTAATTGTGATTGATGATGCATTATGCACTCCACAGTGTGCGACAACGTTCAGCAAGCACAACAATCCTCGGTAAGCTCACATCTCACGCGGAGCATGCTCCGAAATTCCATAAACCACGATTCGCCTGTTGCCTGAAGCCCTTGCTCTCAACTGGCGCCGCCTCCAGATAAACAAATTTTCTTGTGTGATAGTGATTTAACATTCCACTATCTAGTCTCTCTAAGGATCGTGATGCAGGGTGCAATCTTCATTATGGGTTGGAAGATATGAGAGAATATAGTCATGAGACATGCCTGTAGGAGGCACATAAATTTAATACCATGGCGATGAGCAGGCAGGACTTTTAGCTGGAAAGAATGCTTTGCGCGCCACATAAATTTTTATATATTTGCAAGATTTTAGAACTTGATTAATATAGCGAGGGATGGCCTTTGTCAGAGCTGAAGCAAGTCGTTTCCGCTGCCGCGAATCTGCGATCTTAAGTGATATGGAAATACTTATACACATGTAATAATTGCTCATCTTCGAAAAATCGACGCAACAGACCAGCCCTGGACATATTTGTTGAGCATTGGTCTCCTCATGTCACCTTCCGGAATTCACATTCAGTGCAAACCTCATCTTCAATCGTTCACTTTGATCGCAATCCTGTCGCCAAGATCTCCCACATTCAAGTTGTGTAACGCTTGGTCATAGACAACACGGAAAGTGGTGACAGCAGATGGCCGATCGCGCTCGTCATGATACCGTATGCGCCAGCGCCGTACGTTGGGGAAAAAGATAACGGCAAATTTTTGGCACGTAGATAACAGCAAGCTTTGCCCAATATTTAGTCCCCCACGAGCGCCGGTCTTTCATGGTGGTATCATCGGTAGCGATCGGCATCGCAACCTCTTTCTCCAGAGGCTGTAAGCTCTCGGCGTGAAAGAACCCCGGCGTGAACCAAATGCGAACCATTTCCTCATGCCTGAACCCGTGGTTTCAGGGCTGTGTGCAGATCGTACACCTCGCATCATCAAAATCTCTGTCAAGATCGAATGGCGTGGCGCCGCAAAGCGCATGCTAGGCAATGTGCCGACTTCATCGCCGTCGCGCAGAAATTCGTTTGTCAAACTAACATGCAGACAGGGCCTCTTTCGGGCGCACGCATGGACCACAGAAAGCAGGCAAATCGTAGTCATGTAAATCCGGAGCATGCTCCTCGTGAAACTCGAAGTCGCCGATGATGGGTGATGATTTGTCTTTTGCTTGCTGAATGATGTCGCACAGAGTGAAGCACCCGCTTCGAATACGGCCAGTGCCCCTTCTATCACAAAGGCGTCTTCATGTTGCCCTGGCGGTTGCAGTGCAACGCTTAGTGTGAGGTTACAGCAGGTCTTTGTATTGAGGGCGTTTGGAACTATGAAATTTGGTGAAACACAGCAAGGGTGTCCAATGTAGCAGTGCAAATGTATCCAACAATCAAACTTAAATGGCTTCTCTAAACTTGCGGTCTACTTCTTGGACCGGGGCACCTTTCCTTTCCCGGTATATCCTCCCTTTTCCGCCTGGCACTTGTCTGGGCGTGGACTGTCCTGTTCGAGAGGCTGTTCTACAGACGACTCTTCAGACGAAGTCACTTTCCTTCCGCCTTCGAATATCATGGTCTACTTTTGCGTTGGCCGTTCAATCTTGTCACTCGAGCGAATTGTGTCAGGTTCGCTGGCACCATGAAGGCGAGACGATGTTTGAGAGTTGATAAGCCATTTTCCGGTATCATCGACAGATGTGTTCTTCTGGACAGGAGATTTTTTTTAGATGCACCTGCAGACGTTTTCGCCTTTCTACTGCCCCCGAGTGCTGTCATCCGCTTTTTTGCCGGTATTAGAATCGTCGGCGGCTCGTTGTTGTTGCTTGAGCGAATCGTACTAGCATAGTCAGGAGCTCCAGGCCAAGTTAATGATTAGGAATTGGTATCTCGCCCTCCCGCATCGGTGGTAGGCAAAGGATCCTGCGGTAAACTTGAATACGAGTCAGACGTTACTTTGCCAGGATTGATCGGCCCAGGTGCTTCGGCACACGCCGCAAGACCTGGGAGCTGAGACGGCCCTTCTTCTACGCTTGATGTCGATGTGAGAATCTGTGCGTGGCTCATGTGGGCTTTGCGAGAAGAGTCGTCGAAGCGTATCGGTGCCGAGTCGGGTTCTTGAAGCCGAGGAAGGGAATATGGCAACAAGCTTTTATGTGGCCAGCCTCAATATCCGTCATCCTTGGTTGGAATGTCGTGTGCGATCGCTACACCGGTGCTGCGATCGAACACGAACCTTTCGACGGCTTCAGCGTAAACTTGGACCGGCAAATACGTATTTTGCTGAACCATGCTCTGATCCTTGATAGATATTGTGATGTGCGGGCCATCACTCTGTATCGGTTCCCCAGTAATCCTGTCACCTTTCACTCTTGTTTCTGGATGAAATTTCATGCTCCTATCACTATATTTTAGTCGGATTGAGCCATACGGTCGGGCAAAGGTAATCTTAGCGTACCGAATGAAAATATGCACGGGGTTAATCCGTGGCCGAAGTCTTCCGACGCCCTTCCATGTAAGTTTGCACAGTGCGGTCTTGTGATCGTCAGTATAGCTATCAATCTCCTGGTCTCAGAATAGAAATTGGAGATCTTCCATCCGCAATTAAGCACTTAGAGACATGGCGAAGTGTGCAGTATAGTGCGAATTGGATCGAAGAGGGAACTGGTGAATGCAATGGACTGACCGGATGTTCGAGAGAGTCGACAATATATAGGAATCCCGCATGCAATGTTTTGTACAGACGGGTCACACGGTCTCAACTAGGGGTCTGGCATGTCCATTTCCGACACACTACTTCGTCTAACTATCGGTACATGAACATTATTAAGTGGATCGTACGATACGCGCCGCTTCAAATGAACTAATGTAGTTACCAGCGCCCGTGTATGAGTTTGTGGCGGCCCGAAGAGTGCCTGACCGGGTCGTTCGGTATCTGTGGCAAGCACACAGATTCAGTTCCAGTCGTGCGCGCCCTGGCTACCGATTGATGCGACCATCTCGCACGGCAAGCTGTTGCGTTGGAAGCTCAAATTGTGGTTCCTCTGACAGTCATCCTGACGTTGCGTCACAGGATCCTATCGGCAGTTCTGTGACAGCCCAAACACTTGGAGCTTGTGCATCATGTCCATGATCTTGCGAACACAGCCGCCGGCGGTCTTGGAACTAATTGACGGAAAGTTGTGCAAGGAGGGGCTGAAGTTGCCATGCTTATCTGATAATATTTTCATCACCAGTTCTCTGGTTGATAGAGCCTCGCAGCGAGTGCCGAAGAGTCTGCCGGTTCAGGTGGCTGTGCATACTATTGGTCAGTGATGATTTGATAAGTGTCGGTGTAACATCTGCAAGTGAATTCTTACCGTTGCGCTAGACTAGGAGATGCATCTTCATGACGTGGATGTGAACTGCAGACTGTTATTGTCACTGTGATAATAACGTTGAAGCCGCCCTGCAACCTGCGGAGGAGTGTACATGCGCGGGCGGCTGGTTAGTCTACTAATTAAATCCCAGCAGGATTGCAGGGTTTCTGGCATTTTCCTCGTTGTAGCCTACGGCGACTGCGGACCGACGTCCCCTCTCTGGTACGACGCGTAGACGTTCGCTCGCGCCGTCACATCAATCCTTTCATGCGCCCATATTACAAGCAACAATGGTCTCCCACAGGTTTGGAAGGTTTTCACCCTAGAATTGCTTTGCTTTTGTAAGAAGCACCGTCGTCAACGCGATTTTTCTAGCTGTATAGTGCACGGCACTCAACCGAAATCCGTCGTCTCCATGGAATACCATCCTCCTGTCGGAATGGAGCCTCTGGACGATTACAGGCCTGGCGGCTATCATCCAGTCAAGCCCGATGATCTGCTGTCAAATGGACGTTATCGCATAGTCCATAAGCTGGGCTATGGAGGCTATTCAGTCATCTGGCTTGCGAGAGATCAGCGTTTGGATAGATACGTTGCTCTCAAGATTGCCAAATCTCTACAAAACGAACACCTATATCGTGAAGTAGCGGCACTACAAGTTTTGAGTGCTGACAACCCTGTCCCAAAAGCTTTGGACCAATTCTCCGTGGGTGGAAAGAACGGAACGCACGCTTGCTATACGATGCCTGTTGCTGCAGGAAACCTTGCTAACGCAAAATACGACGATGTGTTCCCAGTCCAGGTGGCCCGCGCTTTCTCGGCCAAATTCACTCTGACAATTGCGTCATTTCACGCGAGAGGCTACTGCCATGAAGGCAAGTTGTTTCTCCATCAGTGGTTTCCTGCCGAAGATAGCTAATCGCTTCGCTCATAGATCTACGCCTACAGAATATACCCGCAAAACTTGACGTTAACATTGACGATCTTGACGTTGATCAATTTAGACAGACTGTTGGCTCACCAAAATTGAGTCCCGTAGAGAGATTGGACGATAAAACCCCATCAGAGCATGTTCCGCGAGAAGTATGTCCTCCCCTGCGTTTCCTCGGCAAAACAGCCGATGAGTTCACTTTGGAGGATGCGAAGAACATTATCGTAGCAGATTTTGGACAAGCTTGGCAGCCGGACAAAAATCCGTTGCGCCTTCACATCTCGCGGGGCCACCGGGATGATGGACTCTATGCCCTGCGGACGCATGAATTTCACACATGTGTGGCGCGTGTCCTATCATGAATAACGGCAATGCTGCTGCTGGTCTAGTACGGTAAAGCGTACTCGCAATGTACCGCCGCAGTTTCCGTGGCTATTTACTCCACCAACATAGATCGGAGCATAGACACTAATATCATGTTCTCTAGCTCTAGATCTATGTGTGAAGCTGTATCATTGGCGAGCTTGAAAAACAAGCTCAATTGCCACTTCTAGATCGAGAAATGATGCCGTCTTTCGTAGCTTTGGAAAGCATAGGGAACACAAGTTTTGCTTCGAAACGGCACTTGACTGATGCCAGCGCGAAGGTCTAAATATGTTCGTTGTTGAGGTGGAGTTGTGAAATTGCCGGAAGGACTAAATTCCGATCTCGATGTGAGTGCCACTGTTGGGACTTCTTGGAGGTTTCTTGTATCGAGATCATAGTCATTAGCAAAAGTCTTATCATACAATTTGAAGCTCGCAGAGATGAGGCTATTGTCTTTCGCGACCGTCAAGACAACTGCTTCTTATCCATATTGGTTCACTCCAAGCGTTGGACTCTGTTACGCCCCAAACCTCGACCAACCTCTCATTGAGACCCTCATGAGGACTTTGATGCCCGTCTCCGTCCAAGTTGTCAAACTTGTCAGATTTAGACCTTTAACAAGGAGTCCATACCCCATCGGGTCCACGATTCCGGCAGCCCTGCTTGAGATAACTTGGATCTTCCTACTACGAATCTATAGTCTTTTCACACATCATGTCCTCACCAGAGGTGGCCACAAGCAAGTCAAGCAAGTCTGGAGCCTGGACTTGGCTTGACTTGAGGCCTCAAAACCGTGGGCTTGACTTGCTTGAGAGGTCCGAGGGGATGGCTTGACTTGCTTGACTCGGCTTGAGCCAAAAGGCCAAAAGTTCAGCCACCTGCGAGAATTGAATTCGCGACCTTGGAGTCTACGATCCCCTTGCTCTACCGCTGAGCTAAGATGGCCAGAGCCATAACAGCTGGACCATTTGTGCCGATGTCTGACCCGGTGTTTTCGGGGCATTTCAATGCTCTCCGAGGGGTGGTTT